ACGTCTCTGAAAAAATAAAATGCATATTCTCCAATTTGATTTTTATTATTTTTAATTTTAGTGGCATATAATAATCATATATTTATATGTGGAGAACAATGTGATATTTCAAGTCATGTATGTATTATATAATGGTCAAATAGGGTAATTATCATATTCATTATCTTGAACATTAATTCTTCCTGGTGAGAGCATTCATTCCAAATATTCTTTTCTATGTATTTTCAAACTCACAATTAATTATGTTAATTATATTCACCCTAATCTACTTCGCAATAAGGCATCTGCAATGCAATGTCTGTCTGCAGTATAATGCCTGCTGTAACATTGAACACATTGACCAACTTATTTAAACTCTACTCTCCTTTCTATTTTTCACAGCCCCTGGCAACCACTATTCTGCTTTCAAATTCAATGAGCTCAACCTCTATAAAATCAAATTAATATATTTTCTGAGTTAATCAGTGGGAAGGTGATGACACGTTTTACTGGCAGTGTAATGGAGGGGAATAGGATGATGAGTTTCTTCTCTACATGTTTAAGATTTCAGAAAGCAATGATTTTTTTCTAACACTACTTATATATTGGTGAAATTCAGAAAATATATCAAGATATCAACCATAGACTTGTTACTGATTAGTATATAAATGAAAACTAGTATAGTCATATAAATGAAAATTAGTATATAAATGAAAATGGACAGTATGAACCCATTGTTCCAAAAGTTGAAGATAGGTAAGAATGAGCAGGAGACCAAGAGTAAACCCAGGAAAGTCCAGATTATGAAGGAATGAGAATACAAAGAGAGAGGAGAGATGAGGGAAGGCAGTGTGCACTGTGCAGGAGGGTCAATACGAATAAAGTGTAAAGACGTGTAGGAAAATGTCATAATGAAACCCATTATTTCATATGCTAACTAAAATCATAGAAAACGTAAAGGATTGATTGACCCTAAGAGATATGAAAGCATATTATTTCATACTGACTCATGGGTAATCATGAAGGATAGATAAATTGTTCCCTCAAAAGATACATTTAACACATAGTTTAAAGCAGTTTAGGATGCATTCAGAATTGTTCAAATGCAGTGGCAATGAGAGTCAACTTTGCAGAGTTCTGTGGGTCATCCACAGAATTAGCCCTTTTTGCTTTGGGACCTCCTGACTGACCAGTAAGATAGTATTATCTGAATAATGTAGACTGAGTCTTAGAAACTAGCTGTCTAGAGTGGAGAGATGTAAGATATGATAGCACTATTCATAGTTCAAACTATTACTAGTCATTTCTGAAAATCACCTAAAAGGAAGGAGAGCTTTCATGAATGTGCAGGTGCATGTTTCCAGTTTTCATCTTTATCTAACTGAAAAATGGAAGGTGAAAGGTGACCACCGCAGAAGATTGCACTAATGTCAGGATCTCTTTGAAACGCATACAGCGTGGTGACAGCCATTCTGTAACTGAAGTCACATGCGGGGGTGGATATGATTCCATTCCCCAACCTCTATAGCAAATACAGGAAATATGCACAATACAGCTATTTAGATTTTCTTCAGATATTCTTGTGCAAAAAGTTTTTACTCTTTCTATATTTAAATTGAATTTTATTCTAATTGCAACATAACTTTATGAAATTTCTACCTATTAAGGTAATAAAATGTGATCTTTTAATACATGTGTACATTTGATAATGGTACTGTCAGCTTGAGCACATGTTCTCAAACACTAATCATCCCTTCATACTTAAAAATATATAAATTCTTTTGGTGAGGTCTTTGAAACATAGAATATCTTCTTTATAATCCATTATCACCATATTAAATAACAACATACCAGAATGTCTTAGTCCTAACCATAACATAGTACGAATAAACTATTATGTCAAAGTGGATTCAGGATAGACAGGTTTTTAAGGCTTCTGAAGAAAAATAAAAGCTAGCAGTGAAAACGTAGCACACATTCACAAGAGCTTTTCTTGGTTTTCTAATTGGAAGAAGATGCCACAGATCAGTCTGTAGAGAATGAGGTTAAAATTAAACTCTGACAGTATTAGACAGGGGAACATTGATATTTCTGAGGCAAGGACACATTGTCAGTGTTTATAGATATATGAAATTAATCCATCCAACATAATTAAAACCCATTTATTTCTTTAACTCCAAGACTGTCATAATCATGATCATTAAATGGAAATAAATTTTAATAAAGAAAGAAAATTGCAAAAAATAAGAAAATGGAAGATGGGAAGATAAGATGAATCAGATAAATAAGATCATCAAATGTAATTTTGGGGAAGTTTCATGAAAGAAACTCCACTCGAGGTGAATTTTGAAGTTGGGGACTTCTTAATTTGGCACCAAGTCCTTCATTTTCATACCGCTGTAATTCCTACTTCAGAGATTGAAATTTAGAAACACAGAAAATATTGTCATAACTCTAAAGTCATTTTTCTGTTTCTAGACATGGGTGATTTTGTTTGCATGGATCTGCTTTCTGGGCAGCCCTTCCAAGACACAATCACCTCTCTAGCATTCAATCCACTTTCTGAAGCACAGTTTCCAGTACAGGCATGGTCTGCTTCCTTCTTATACTATCTCACACCAACATTACCGCACTATCCATATTATTCACACCATCGAGACCAAGACAATCTGAATAAGGGTGTTGTACCTCCTGTGGTGACAGCAGAGTAAAAAGAAAAGATTAAAAAATACTTAAAGTATTTGTCAGTTAAGCAAAAGAGTACCCAAGTTACAGTTCCTTGAACCTGTTACTTCATACTGCTCTCATTATACAGAGAGCTGGTGATGGTCACACTTATTTCAGTCTCAGGAGCAAAGGTAAAAATCCTAGAAATTTTCTCTGCTTTCATTGATCAAATATATAATTCAGAAACTTGTATCCATATATTCTGAACTTTGAGATACTGAAGATAACTAATCATCCTGTTTGGAGGGTGGATTCAGCTTTAAATCATCACATGGGAGGTCGCTATTTTTCTTTTTTTTAAGGATTTTTAAAAATTATTTATTTAATAACCACATCATTAGAAGAAGCATTTCACTACAACAGCATTGACATATTCAGTTACAACTTACATATCAAAGGTGCATTTCTTTCAAAATTGGCTGTAAATTTTTAGGTTCACAATTGAATTAATACAATTATACAATATTGTACTCAGTATAAACCCTATAAGACATAAAATTGAATGAGGTTTTTACCTTTAAAAAAGATCTCCATTTCATTTTAAAATATACTGTTTCATACAGGAAAATTCATTTTTAATGAAACTAACACATAGATGTTTGCACATGCTTCTCAAATCTCTATATATCTGATTATTACTAGTCACAGTCAGTTACTTTCTGAGATCCTTGGCACCTAAGCATGGATATAAAGTCATCAGGTAGATTTCAATAGTAGTGTTTATCACCTCTACTAATTAACATGAAGCAAATTTTATGCTCTTTCCCCAAATATAACTCATTTTTTATTGATTGATTGATTTTTTGTGCAAGTGTATTTCAGACTAGACATCCCAAACAAACTTATTCATCTATACCCACATCCCAAAATGCACCCTCCCATAGCCCCCAGCCCCAATGGAGCTCTTATAACTCTTTCATCCCTGTTACTGTCCACTGTGTTGTCGGCACCCCCATCAGTTCCCCAGTGCTTGTCCATCTGCTGAGTATAGTCAGCCTGTCTGGAGTTCCTTGTTTTAGGAAGATCAGCTCTTCCTCATCTAGCAGCAATAAGTTGATAACTTTCCTTTAAATAAGATTGGGGTCTGCTGTTCATTTTCCCAGTTCTATGCTGGGTTACTGTCTGGGAATCTCTAGGGCCATCCTGGCCCACAACTCTGTTGGAGACCTCTGTTATGCAAAGTAGAAGTCCCTTCACAACCGGACAGCTCATGCAGCTCGGGATCATGTGCTGAGGGCTCCTTTCATAGCAGGGTGTCTTCCAGGCATCTTTCCTGTCTCTCCTTTTGAAGTGTCCGCCACAAATGCCATAACATAAACATGGCCTTTGGCTCTGAAAGGTACCATGCCTTCCTGTAATTTCTCCAGGCAAACAGCAGTCTGGCAGAAACCCACTTCCATATGTAAATAGAATGCCTCACAAAGCATCTAACAGCCAAAGCTTTTACCACTACCCCCATGGTATAAGTATCCTAGTTTTCTCTTAATAGACAGAGAGCTG